CACGAGTGCACATATGCAGGGCAGGTACCCTCAAAGTGTCAAACTTGTTTTGCAGCTTTGGTTACGCTGGCCGCAGTAGGCAAGAGAGCAAACTCAACTGTCATAACTGGGCACCAAACACTAAATTTTTATCTTTTTTTTTCCTTGTGATATTTCCCTTTCCTTCATAAATTTTTTTATGCCTCTCCTTCCAAGATTTGTTGACGCCTTTGGGGAGCGGTTCTGTTTCATTCTTGTTCAATGACAAGTTTATTTTCCGTCATTGAATGGTGGGGACCGAGGAAATAAGCTGCTCAGTGGCAGCTTGACGAGCCCTCGGCCCCCGTGCATCGGCAAACAGCAAACGCAAAACTCACGATGTCGTGTTCTGTGCTCCGTCCTATTGGTTTATTGTTTCGTGTGTAAATTATATCTACCACAGATGTGGCGCAAATGAAAGGGCCACTACAGCCCTTATCCTTTCATTTTTGATGTTGTTTTTTCTTCTTTTTCAGTACATTTTACATTATACTCCACACGAATCGCGCTGATTTTAGAAACCAGATTGGTAAAAACAAAAATAATACAAAATAAGTACTCGGCACCTCACTCCATAATTAAATACACGGTAATCCCGCTTAAAAAAAATACTCGTATTTTCACACACTTACAGGATTGGGGTATATATGTTGACTCTAACCAGCTGTTGATTTCCGCATCGATTCGTCCACAAGTTACGCTTCTGAACACTCGCGCTTAAAAATAAAATCAATAGCTTGTTTCATGAAAGTGATATTCTTGAATGATCCGCTTAACGTATCAAACGTATCTACCGCACCGATAGCCCAAAGCCCTCTAGACATCAGCATGCCGTAGCACGTAACGTCAAAATGCAATGATCGGAAAAGTTCGCACGAACAATAGTTGACTTTCAAACATCGATCGGAAGCCATCAAAAATACAATTAAGAAGCAGCTTCTGAAGCGAATGCATCGAATGATATAGGAAACTTCGATAACACGCGAAGTCGGCCAGGGAACCCGTTCAAAATGAAATGGTACGCGCCTACACAAAGAAACAGGCCATCCGCCATTTTGACAGAAATGCCGACAACTGACGATGCTGTAGCTCAGTCGCTCAGTGGCGTAGCCAGGGTGGGAAGGGGAGGGGGAGGGGAGGGGGAGGTTTGAGGGTCGAAACATTTCCCGAAATTTCAACGTTTCTTTCTTTCCCCATTCCCCTTTCCAGTGTCAGTTTGCGTGTGTGTGTGTGTGTGTGTGTGTGTGTGTGTGTGTGTGTGTGTGTGTGTGTGTGTGTGTGTGTGTGTGTGTGTGTGTGTGTGTGTGTGCGTGTGCGTGTGTGCTTCGTTGTTTTGTCAAGGTAATAAAATCATATGTGTTTCTCTTTCTGTTCGACAACCCACTACGGCGAGGGGCCGGGCTTACAACATTTCAAAGCAAAACGAAGATGACAACACTGTCCGTGGACTGCGTGAAAACCGCAGATCCGGCTCTCTGAAGAGCTCTCGCCCAACTCGGCCGTGTAACCCAAGCCTTTGTTCAGGCTCACAGGTGCGAATGGCTCAGCTCCCGACGTCACAAAAGCCGCGAAATCCCGACCTCAAAGGACGCTGGCCTCGCTTCGGAGAATGCAGGCTGCTTGACTAAAGTCCCCCACCCTTTGCGTCTCAAGGACTCGACGTCAATTTTAGGGCGGCAAACTCTGAAAACAGGACGACGAAATGACAAACAGCTTAGCGTTGTTTTTTTTTCTCTTGTTTTCGTCCTTTCTTCCTCTTTTTTAGTGTTTATTAGCCTGCATTTCTTTATTCTCAGGGATACACCAACCAAAATGTAAAAAAAAAAAAAACACCTTTTTTAATTAAAAAAAAAGAAGAAAAAGAAGCGAGAGTGAAAAGTGGCAGCATATGCACCCTAGAAGCAACTTTGGAATGCGCATTGTCGTAGTTGACTTCTTTAATCGCTGCAGTGGGTAATGTTTACACTCTCTCGTTCAGCAGGTGAGTCGTGAAAGTAATGAGATTAATAGCCAAGCTGTCGCTTGACGCTTTTTTCAATAATAATTATTGACCTACCTACACAGGGGCTCCGGAACCGGGGGGCATGCTTTCTCACTCAAAGCTGTCCCGACGGCACCCCCCCCCCCCCCTTTCTTTGCCCCTCCCACCACCTAGGCCGCGAGAGAGAAAGAGAGGGGGGGGGGGGGGGGAACTACACGATACGGCATGAGTTGCATGAGCCCCCAGACGTCGCCCCCACAGATCAGATATACTTCCGGAGCCCCTGGACCTACAACTTAAAGCGTGTCATCAAGGTCTTCAAAAGAGTCGGCACATTCACGTCTTGCAGCATCGTCCTCTCTAGGCGAGAGCAATGTTGTGGACAACGACGTCGGTCTCCATGTCGCAAGCCTCGACTTCGAGCAAATCTCCAGTGCGAAGCATTCGTTTCGTTAAATAAACTGCCTGGGGAAGTTCTGGTTTGGACACAAATATGGAAGGACCGCACCGCTTAGCGCGTCTCAGCGGTACAGGCAATTCGCCTTTGCCCGGTGACCTTGTATCCTAATGTAAACCGCCTGCTGCAAATCCTGGCCACCGTTCCCATTAGGACCAGAACGCTCGCTCTCGAGACTCCGAAGACTCAAGCAGTGGCGTCACTAGGGTCAGCGGCACCCGGGGAGTTGGCCCGCGCCAACAACCCCCTACCCCCCTCCCCGGCTCGTCACCCGCCGCGGACACCCCCCCCCCCCCCCCCCCCCCCCCGCACCCCCCTTGTGACGCTACTGGACTCAAGCCATACCTGAGAGCTTCAACGTCACAGGAGCGCTTGCTAGGGGCTACGCTTCTGAACATACCTGAGAGCTTCAACGTCACAGGAGCGCTTGCTAGGGGTTACGCTTCTGAACATTCACCGGGACATCCACGTTAGCCCCAAAAGTGTCCTCTCGCTTCTTTGTATCGACCGACGGTGGCTTTCACTAAATGTTTAGACCCCATAAAATGATAGAAACTGGTACTTTTCTCTGCCCCTTTCTCGTAAAACGACGTCGAAGAACGGAAAGAACCCGAAGCATGACCACAGCACGATCATTTCTGAAAAAAAAGTGATCCGCGCAGGAACAATGAGTGTGACGCTTCACTTGCTCACTGCCCCAGTGCGCATTGCAGTTTTTATGTTTAATCGTGTTCTAAACTTCACTATTCTCTGGCACTCTCCCGTAGTTTTTCAGTCATTGGATACCCAAGTGTTCCACAGAGAAGTGTACGCACCGGAATATTTTGGGGGTCTGTCTCGACTTGTTTGTTCAAATGCCATTATTATATTCTATGATTGCGTGTTTTCGTTGTTTACCATAAGTTTCTCCGTTTACAGATTTAACAAACGAAATGTGGCAAAGAAGGTTGAATTTTTGTCTCCTAAGAAACAGGAAAATATTATCTAAAATTGTGTTTGTGCAATTCCTTTTCCTTTGGTTTTTTTTTTTTTTTTTTTTTTGCATTTTTAACGGTTTGATTAAAGAAAAACACCCCCTGAAAAAAATTCCTGGCTACGCCACTTTAATTGGGGGGAAAATCTTTAAAAGCAGGCTATACACGAACTACATTGAACTATTTAACCGTTTCAACCAGTCTAATCACGAAAGATTGGCATTGCAGGACGAAAAGAACACGGAAATGACGATCCGACGGCGATCAACAAGAAATGGTTGTTACTACAGGCGGCCAAGTTTGAAAGGCACCGAAAACTCGACCAATGTTCAAAGCACGCCGGCAACCAAAGGCTGATGACATCAAGATGCAAGGCACGACACGCTGTAACCCCCAAAACATGACAAAAATACAGCGGCGTTCGCTTCGAAGCCACCGCGACGCCAGATCAAGGATAATGGAGAATGTTAGGGAAATGTACATTCCCCAGACCCTAGGCAACATGGCGGTCGAGATGATTGCGCAATAACGCCCAGACCGTCTTTTCGACACATTCAACCGCGAAATGCGTCTAATGACCGCCATATAATGTTTCTGAAACGAATAGTCGTGCAGAAAATATCGAATAGCACGAGAACCGAACGATGCATCCCGCCTCGGGAAGATAGTGCGTAAATGTCCCTGTCCCCGATCAGTAGATTTCAACCCGGACGCAGAAAGCGTCCGTTTTAGGGAAATTTCAGATTGATGGCGTATTTCTGTACACTTCCTTTGTCCGAGCGAATGTGTGACACTGTTTGGTGCATTTGGATGGTGTGTGTGAAGGTTCTGTGTGGTGTGTGGTCCGGTTTGAAACCCTTGAGTGTCTTGGGAGGTTCCTGGGGCTGCGCCGATCCGCCATTTCTGTGTGGGCCGTTTCAGGGCGGGAGTGGAGACAGCCGCTGCAGTATTGCATTTTCTTGTCCTCGCTTTATCGTGCAAGTTACTCAGTACGGACGTTAAACATTCGATTTATCTCATTTGTCCGCATGTAATTCTAGCAAAACTGGCGTGCTGTCGTACTCTCATACATGGTATTGCCTTTGTCGCTAACTGCGTAGCGTTGCTGCACCTCGGGTACAGCCCGCTATGGAATTTAACAATTAAGTCGCTGATTTCTGGTTAACGTGAAGTGAATCGTTGTGTGTTATGAAGTGGTGGCATGCGAATGTAGTCCGATTTCTGTTTCAATGTTGTCTGGAATGTTAGAGTGATGTACTACATACACATTTGCGCCATTGAAATTTAACTAAAACGTGACCTCCCATTGTTTTATCGAGGCACTGACTTTGGCAGTCCGTTTGTGTTAATTATAATGTCCATTTGCAAACCTATATCGCCTAAGTAGTGAGGGAGTGCTTTTATGCGCAATTACTTGCTTATCAAAATCGAGGCCGAATCCGAAGAGCCGCTTTAGGCTTACGGTGGTAGTGTCCTTAGGCGAAAAGGCAAAGAGCTCTCGAAATAAACGTGGATTTAATGTTCTTTTGGCCCATGTTTGCCTTTTGAGTTACGGGAATTAAATACTCACCGATGTTGAGGCGTCTTCTTGAAGACTTCTAGCACGGTTTTTATGTAGAACTGTTAGCGGTACGCGCTCGAACACTCGTGGCACGGTCGTTTTCTAGTCACTTTTTCTTGTTTGGTTTATTTGTTTACTTTTTTTTTCCCCGCGCAAAGTTTATGTTATAGTGGTAACAACTAGCTGCAAGTATTTACTGAGTTCATGAAACAAGGTTTGTATCTGTTTTACCTCTGGTTACTCGCTGAAGTACTTGAAATACCTAGATTTCTGCCCGCGCTGGTCTCTTATGGAGGTTTTCCTTGTGTCAGACAGGAGCGCTAGGCCGTACGAAAGGAGTTTGTAACACGGTACCTTGACCCGCGTTTATAACTATGCTGTGCCGTCAACGATTGTTTCTGCAGCATAATTTCAATTTTGTACGTTTTCGGGATTTCGCTTTCTACTATCTTACTTTTCTGTGTATCACTTGTTGGAGTGGGTTCGGTATGGCAGGTGCAATGGGCATATGCATTGGCCGCACGGAGGCAGATGACTGACAGGAAGCACCAATAAAAAGTTATAGTTAATAATTTTGTGTTTCGTTCATGTATGTCGCTATAGGGGTTCTCAAAATAATTTTAATTTGTGTAAAATTAATGCGTTTTGTGATTGTACCGTTCCATGACGCTCGTGTAAGTTTTATCACTCCTACTGTTCGCCCCTTTTTAATCTTGGCGTATGTTGACGTAACTGAGTGCGGTCACCGAGTATAGAAGTTGTGTCGACTAGGACGCTTGCGGTACGCTTCACTACTCGATTTCAACTTAATCGTGTTTGCGATAAGGCGTCAAATTACTTGATTAATCTTCCGATTAATGCATTCATCGCCGACTATCATTCCTTAAACGATAAGTCAGTCACCAGTGGAACCCGACTACCTGTACTCAAAGAATGTAAATACTGCCCACGGTAAAGGAGATCACGGACCGGTGAAGCACCACATTATTATTTTTTGTTAAGTTTAATTGCATAAATACTTCTAGGTAAATAACATATCGACATTTTTTATTACTTATTTTAATTTTGTATCTGCCAACGTGCCGCACTAAAAAGGTGTGTAAATTTTGTTTTCGTCATCGCTTTTACCATTTATTTCTACACTTCTACCGCAAGGCGTTCATATGTGTTCAAACTAATAATTGAAATGAAATGGCTTCATTAGGTCACAATTGCTGCATCGCTAAGGCTTGTGTTTTCCAAATGTATAATGATATGTGTATGTGCGATAATTTAAATTTATGCCAAACAAACCAATAAATGAAATGGCTTTACTAAAACGCAATGTTTCTGAATCGTTAAAGCTCTACGAATCCCAGCAATTTTGTTACCCAAATGTGTGTGTGTATATATATATATATATAATATATTTGATAATACATTAACCATAATTAATCGGCCTCAAACATTTCGGCCGATTAATTAATTGCCTAAAGAAGACATTGTAGGTTAAAAATTCTTGAGCACGGTAACATGTGGGATATTTGTGGGGTCAGTGTACTCTGATGCAGCGGCGTAGACTATCCATTCCCCCCCCCACCCCCCCTGGGGGGGGGTGCTGCGCGTTACCTTTCCACCAGAACTGGAGATTGGAGCTAACGAAAGCACGATGGGATTCCATTTTCCATGTATTTTGTCAATAAAGGCAACGTGGGCGGCGTTTACGGGCCCGGGGGGGCTTTGCACCCCCCGGATTTCATCAGGGGGGTGCAAAGGTGGACTTCGAAAGGGGGGGGGGGGGGGGGGTGCATGCCCCCCCCCCCCCCCCCCCGAAGTCTACGCCTATGCTCTGATGGGTGAATTTAATGACCTCGCCTGTCAAGAAAGGGGGGATTATATAGTAGCGTTACTACTAGCGTTGGAACTACATGGCATTTAAAAGCGCGCAATGCATGCAGTGACAGCCGAATTGACGCGCTTCATGCGATGCTCCACTTCCCGGTCAGTCATTTCTCGTTTCCCGGTCTTAAAGTGCTTAAACTGCATGTTGCGTTTCCTTTAGTCCAGAGGGCGACTCTGGTCCATGACGCTTTTAAGCCCTGTTTGTTGGCGTTTTCCAGTGATACAATTGCTGCGCTTTTTGCGTCAAACTGCGCCAAAGCAGTTACCTTGCTACATCCTGCTACATTTTGCCGAAATATGAATTTGCGACAATATTCCGCCAAAACTTCATTGCATTTTATTTTATTAAAAGTTAATATATATATAGCTCCCCACCCCGCTACACGGCCAAATTATTTCTGCAGGCTGGTGCGAACGTTGACAACTCGATTATCGACTCAGATAACCTACTATTTGATTATATCTCTGCATCAAGCACTGACAGCACTCGGAAGTTTCACAACATTCCCAATGTTCGTGGTCTGCTCTGATAGGTTAGTTAGGTCTGTTGAGCAGGGTGGATGATAAAAATTAATTTGATTCAAATCGTAATTTAGATCGGACCAGTTTTACTATGATGATTTCAATCAAGCCTTTCCAGCACGAGTAATCCCTAAAACATTTTGTAATTTACCGCTTGTCTATCATTTGATGTTTTGTATATGTATTTTTTTTTCGTATCTAAATCAAATAATTATCAAGCTAAAAAGATTGATATGTGGCTGAACACGAGCAAAACGAAGTGCTCTTCTGAACAAATCGGAGCGTTGAGATTGATTTCTGCCTTCCACTTCGTTCGCCAGCTACGTAACGTTCTATTGCAGCAAAACCAAAACGAAAAAAAAAAAAAGGAAACGAAAACTTGAAAAGTAATGTCCTATTGCCATTAAGTCAGAACGCGAAAGAAAATTCAAATAAAGCTTTATATCGAACTAAAAAATCGAGCTCTGTTTCCTATTTTATGGTGGTATTACACAAAAAAACGTTGTTAATTAAAGTGTACTTTACATTGACAGTAATTCTTTCTTCCACATTGTTACCAGTGATCGGACAAATTTATCGATCAGTCTGCAATGTGGAAAAATACATCTAGTGGTAGAGAATCACTATATTTCTTAGCTACATTTATTTAAATAAAATGAATCTGATTAAAATGAAAACAACCTGACTTATTCCTTTTGTCCTTTTTATAGAAAAAGAAATTTTCTATTTTGCCGTTGAGTGCGCTCCTCACCGCGCACTGGTGCACGGCAGCGAAGCGACAATCGCGGAAGAGGCATCGCTCCCGATGGTGCGCGTCTCGCTTCGCCGCAGCGCACCCTTGTGCCAGGGAGAAAGAACTCATCCAGAGCGGGACGTCACACACGGGGGCGTCGAGTATATTAAAAACAGGAATAAAAAGGAATTTCGTGAATGCTGATGGAACAACTGTACCCTGCAGTATTTTTACAGCGAAGCTGTTTACGGCTAGGGTTCCGTGGATTTTTCGTGCGCGTGACCCAAAACTCTACGCTCGGACCGCCCGCACGCGCGCGCCTTCCCCGTATAAAATATTCGAAGTAAACAACCAAAATAAAGCGTTGACGAACTCGCGTGCAAGATGCCATTTCTTTTAGGCTATTGTTTTAAAACAGTTCCTGCTTGAGATGCCGGGACGTGTGGCGCGTGGAACACCATTCCCTGCATCCTCCTTGATGCTTGGGTAATTTAGCGAGAGGTCTATTGAATAAATTAGTTATCAATAGGCACCATTTGCAAGATCAGTAGACTCTCAGGTAGATACTAAAGGTTTCTTTAAGAATTGCCGCTGTGCGACCCGCGTCGGCCCATATCTACGCTCGCGCATCCCTCTCTTTAATTGTCGTCGTTCCAAGCGCTTGCGTGCCTATATTTCCTTGCGCTCTCCCGGGGTGGCGGTCCTGTCGCGCGTGTCTAGTTTCCACCGGCTCTTCAGGGCGGGTCTGTGTCGTGTGCCAAACAGCTTCGCTTCACCTTCACAGAGGAATGGCTCGTGCTTTTTATTCTTTTTAACTGCGGCTAGTATGTGTACAGTGTGTAGAATAGACCGCAATATTCTGACGACATTTTGTTTTTCAAATACGAGATATAGCAAATTATTTGGGTATCGCGAGAAGATTTATATGAACTGCTCTATATAATCAATTAAAATTAAATTAGCTGGAGTTTTTTTTTTTTAATAATCATATTTATTGTTTACGTGCTAATGTTTGTTAACATGAAATTCTACATATAAAATATAATTGCTTTTCATAATCAAATGGCAAACGCTTTTTTTAATCCGAATTAAGAATGGCAGTTTTATGACAATTTTAGAACTTGAACGAACCGCCAGTTTGGGTGTTCAAAATATTCTATCCCAACATTATTTCAGGTTTACCTTTGATTGCGTACCTAGCATAACCATTCACAGGAGTTCATACTGTCCTTCGTCAGTCATATTATTGTTGCCGTGTCTGGCGCTTTTTCGCGGAGATACGCGGCTCGTTATACTTGAGGGAATCAAGCCTGCCGTGCAGTTGATGCTAACAAAAGGTTGCACACACGTGGGAAGGCAAAGAGACACTGCCTTATAGCTGTGCAGACCATCGCATGAATCTTAACGTAATGTTCGCAGTGGCCTGAACGCAAATAAAGTGTGCGCTTATGCTCCAAAATATATTTTTTTTTATTTGCTGCTAAAAAAAATGTACTTTTGGCTGCTCCAGAGGGTGCTCCGAAATTGCTCCAGACCAATCACATCACCATTTTCCTCGATGAAGGGAAAACAAAAAAATACGACTGATGGTTTTAACAGTACTCATTGAGGCCTTGGTTACAAAATCGTGAGCTGTGTTTAGTTTGTTTCAGTTCAAGTTAATTACCATCAACGCGATAATTTTCGCACTATCGGAGCCAAAGTTGGCAATATATACTCTAAGAAATCTGGAGCGTCAACTTTTCCGCAAGGCACTCCGGAGAGTCAATCGCTGCAATCTTCGGAGGACGAAACTAAAAATACCGTTTAAACCTAGAAAAAAACAAAAAAAAAAAAACAACTGTGTTTGCTGTGGCATTGAGCATGGCATTTCGCCATGCTGCATGCCACAACGCAATTCTTTTTTTAAATGTATGGCGCGAGTACACTTGAGGATTCGCCGGCAGATCCGCGCAGACGGAAAGTGGATTTTGGGGCCGGTTGGCGAAATCGACTCGTCGCTGGCGGATAATCTGGATGAGTCCGGGACCCATACCCAGATTTTCTGCCAGCGACAAATCGATTTCGCCACTTTCGCGCGAATCCGCGAGTGCACACCCTAAAAAATGCCCGTGCGTCTGCTTTCCCCGCACAACACTCGGAGAGCCAATCACCGCAACTTACGGAGGCAGTTCAGCGAATGACGA